CTGTTCTAGAGAGATGAGTAAAGAGTGTGGCAGGGTAGTTTCTGTTCTAGAGAGATGAGTAAAGAATGTGGCAGGGTGGGTTCTGTCCTAGAGACACTAGAAAAGAGTGTGGCAGGGTAGTTTCTGTTCTAGAGAGATGAGTAAAGAGTGTAGCAGGGTAGTTTGTGTTCTAGAGAGATGAGTAAAGAGTGTGGCAGGGTAGTTTCTGTTCTAGAGACACTAGAAAAGAGTGTGGCAGGGTGGTTTCTGTTCTAGAGACACTAGAAAAGAGTGTGGCAGGGGTGGTTTCTGTTCTAGAGACACTAGAAAAGAGTGTGGCAGCATGGTTTCTGTTCTAGAGAGATGAGTAAAGAATGTGGCAGGGTGGGTTCTGTCCTAGAGACACTAGAAAAGAGTGTGGCAGGGTAGTTTCTGTTCTAGAGACACTAGAAAAGAGTGTGGCAGGGTGGTTTCTGTTCTAGAGAGATGAGTAAAGAGTGTAGCAGGGTAGTTTCTGTTCTAGAGAGATGAGTAAAGAGTGTAGCAGGGTAGTTTCTGTTCTAGAGAGATGAGTAAAGAATGTAGCAGGGTAGTTTCTGTTCAAGAGACACTAGTAAACAGTGTAGCAGGGTGGTTTCTGTAATACAGACACTAGTAAACAGTGTAGCAGGGTAGTTTCTGTTCTAGAGACACTAGTAAACAGTGTAGCAGGGTAGTTTCTGTTCAAGAGACACTAGTAAACAGTGTAGCAGTGTAGTTTCTGTTCTAGAGACACTAGTAAACAGTGTAGCAGGGTATTTTCTATTATATAGACACTAGAAAATAGTGTGGCAGGGTGGTTTCTGTAATACAGACACTAGTAACCAGTGTGGCAAGAGTAGTCTATATTGTATAAAGATGAGTAAATAGCATAACAGGGTAGTTTCTATTGTAGAGACACTAGTAAACAGTGTGGCAGGGTAATTTCTATTGTGGGGAAACAAGTAAACAGTATGGTAGGGTAGTTTCTATTGTAGAGACACTAGTAAACAGTATGGCAGGGTAGTTTCTATTGTAGAGAGGGTAGTAAACAGTGTGGCAGGGTAGTTTCTATTGTGGGGAAACGAGTAAACAGTATGGCAGGGTAGTTTCTATTGTAGAGACACTAGTAAACAGTGTGGCAGGATAGTTTATATGGTATGGTTAATCTACTATGTTATACGTGTTTCTTTGGTAAAGAACAGTACTGTTAGTATATTATACGTGCTGCTAATTGAATTCATATGTCATGATTTATACACTGTACATTTTTAAAACTGTTTTGAAGACCTTGAGTACGTTATGGTCTTGTCATTTGTTGTAAGAAAAACATGACATTCTTTTCTGGAATAGTTAATATTAACCGTTTGTTCTCTTAAGATGGACCATTTTGAAAGTATAATCAGGCACGTGTAAAGATACACTTGGTGATAAATATTCACGTCAAATATGTATTTAAACATTGAGCTTCTCCAATGTACTGCTGTTCGTGGAACATAGTTGAGAAATTGTGAATTGGAAGTTTGTTTATTTGTCGAATTAAACAGTCAACAGTTCAGCCCCATTACATCCCAAAGAGTTTCATTTTTGAATTAATTATATCTCAAACTTTCTTCTAAGTAAAACAAATATTTGTAAAATTAAATTTAATTATTTATTTATACTAACAAATTATTGGTTGATCACTTAACATTAAAAAAAGTTACTAAAGAAGTAGATCAGCGGAAAGTCTGCAGCCCTTCGACGTTAGAATTCGAGGTTCGATACCCACGCGGGCAGAACACAAATAGTCCATTTTGTAGCTTTGTGCATATTAACAAAGTGATAAAATAATTTTAATATCTTGTTTTATGAAATGTTTGGGAGATTGAAAGTTTTAGTTACTAATATATTATATGTATAAATTATTTATAGAAATTCTCATTATTTCATAAGGACATTTATTGAGTTTTGTTTAAAGTTTACAGTTTGCGAAAAATCAGCTAACAAGATAAAAAAAAAGTAACATGGGCGTCGTGATCGACTATTTATTCTAGTTATCGTGTAACATGCTAAACAAAGCCGGTACCAATCAATGTAAACTACACAAAAAAGCCTCAGTATTTCTGATGACATCACAAGAAATGGTCGATTACGTGAATGACGCCATTGGATGCGGTGATATCAGAGTACTCAATATTAATACCATCTACAGCAATGCAATCTGGGAAAAAAAGAAATAAAGTAATGTTAAAGTTTATAAAATTATGACCAAACTGTTGATGACAGAAGAACTTTTTACAATAAAACAATTTTATTTTTAGTTGAAAAATCTGAATTATTGTTCTACAGTTACATATAAACCTTTGTTATCGAGTTCTCTCTAAATCCATATTTAACAACTGATAGTTTAATATAGTTATTGAAATGGAAAGGTTAATAATTAACTGTCACTGACCTGGTTTAAACTTGATTGTCAGGTCATCACCGCTATCTGCTTTTAAATTGAGTCCGTGAGTTAGTCCGCTGGTAAAAAATGTCCCTTTCACGAGATGACGAAGCAGAAGAGCTGTAAAGTATGATAAAAAAACAGAGAATGTTCTTGGAGATGACCATTTTATCAGTTTACTAGGATTTAACATCTTGTTTATAAAACTCATTTCCCAATCTAATATTTAATGGTTATGTTCCAGTTTGTTTAAAATACGTTGAATATAACAGATATCCAACAAATTAAGCATTTTCAACCATTATAATAAAGTTAAGCCTATGTTAATCGAAAATACAGGTTATTATCTTCAAAACAAAATTAATCATGCACAATTATAGTTTAATTCGAATAACAGTAATAGTCAGATCGTGGTTTATTATTACTTCATATAAGAGTTCGTTGGAAAAGCATTGTTGAACACGCGCAAAGGAAAATCATTTTATTTTCAGTTATACGAGGCTTTTAAATAACGCTTGTATTATCAGTGTGGACCTTCGTCACTAACTTTGTATAGTGAAACTTAGTTTATATTATTAGTGTGGACCTTCGTCACTAACTTTGTATAGTGAAACTTCGTTTATATTATTAGTGTGGACCTTCGTCACTAACTTTGTATAGTGAAACTTCGTTTATATTACTAGTGTGGACCTTTGTCACTAGCTTTGTATAGTTAAACTTAGTTTATATTATTAGTGTGGACCTTCGTCACTAACTTTGTATAGTGAAACTTAGTTTATATTATCAGTGTGGACCTTCGTCACTAACTTTGTATAGTGAAACTTAGTTTATATTATCATTGAGGACCTTTGTCACTAACTTTGTATAGTGAAACTTCGTTTATATTATTAGTGTGGACCTTCGTCACTAACTTTGTATAGTGAAACTTAGTTTATATTATCAATGTGGACCTTCGTCACTAACTTTGTATAGTGAAACTTCGTTTATATTATCATTGAGGACCTTTGTCACTAACTTTGTATAGTGAAACTTCGTTTATATTATCATTGAGGACCTTTGTCACTAACTTT